AGAATATCTATATACATATATATATACACACATCCAAAAAGTTAACCAAATCCTGATGTTGAGTTTTTTGAGCTGATTGTTAAATTCTCTGCTGTGTGCAGTTGGGTTATTGTATTACCCCAGACTTGTGGGTGAACTGTCTCAGTGCTGGTAGTAGCTGTGATGCAGTTTGTGATCTACCTGTCACTCTTGTTTATTGGATGAAATAAACTATTGTTTCTGTATAATGAAGGTCTCCATGACTAGAATAAAACCATCTCTCTTGCTCTTTCTCTGGGTGGTTTTCAACTTGTGTTTAATTATAACCTAATCTTTTCATCCTGTAGAGCTTAAAGCTATGCATGCACACAGGGCTATCCCTGGTAGGGAAGGTGGAACAGATCTGCATCACCAGTCGCATCCAGGAGCTGCAGTAGAGTGGAACACCTTGCCCCAGGTGGAAGTTAACGCCCTTTCTCTATTGCAAAAGAAAAAGTATGGAGGTGCTCCAGTGACTGGACATGCAGAAGGTGGGAGTTTTGGAAACAAAATTGCTTGGTTGCTGAAACAGTGGTTTTGCCTAGGCTGTTTGTGGGACATGCCAGGTGGGTGTTGAGTTGCAGTTTCTCTGTCAAACGGTGTCATCTGGGCCCGTATCTGAAGTGTGGTCTAACCACGGCCTAACACACACGGCCAGCTCCTACGTGGAAGTTGTTTTTTGGCTGAAAGTGGGATTTCTCCCATAGTATAAACTGCATAAAACTGTTCCTACTGTCTCCATAAGCTAAAACTCTCCTTGATGATTTTAATCATAGTGATACTGGTGTGGGTTGAGTGACTAGATGTCTAGTGCTTTCTCCCTCTCTTCTTTCTCTGTCCTGCATGGTTTTGTGGTGTAACTTCAGCTTCTGTACAACTGAGGCACTAACCGTTGCTTGCCCTACCCTGTCCTATTGGGTTTTTTACTCACTGGAACGGTTCCATCTATCCCTGGTATTATATATAGGGTTGTTCTTTAAGAATATTGTATTTTTGAAGGCAAAACTCTGTATTTAGTCAAGTAAGTATGACAGCCTTACTTTGCAACACTTGAAAACCTCTAATCTGCTGGTTGTCAGAGGCAAAGTCCATTCTGATGAGAATGCCAGCTACCCTGCCCAGGCAAGAAAAACTCTTACCCCCTGGTCCACAACCTTGTCAAACAGTGCCCTCTTTCCAGCGCTGCTGCTGTTCCCTGTTGTTTGGTGCTTATGGCCTTTAAGAAGCATTTTTCTATTTTTCTTCAAATCCAAGGTGCAGAGAGGGTTGGTTGCTCCAGTTTAAAGTTAGTGCGTGGCAGCTGCTCAGTAGTTCTGCTCTTAGTCCACTCTGAATAAAGGTGGGGTCAGGGAATCACTCCTAAAGGGAACAGGGTAAAAAATGAATTTGAACCTAGGGGTCTGTGTGTGAAGTGCTAGCCAAGAGAAACACTCAGGCTTGGCAACAGCCTGTCTACAGGAAAACATTCATGAAAGCTGAGTGAAATAGGGCAGTGATAGCAGGATGGGTCTTTCTAATAAAGAATTCATTCTTCACTGTTTTCTGGCCAAATTTCAAGGTGATCTATGCAGAAGAAATCAATCTAGTCAGTGCCCATCTGAGTAAGTTTATTCAGAAAGCAAATTTGTAACAGGATTAAGTCACCTCTGCAACAGCCTGCAGCCCTTCTTCACAGATCTTGACTCCTTCACAGTATTAGAGTAGAACACCCAATAAATATTTATCCCATTTATAATAATGCTCTGCATTAAATCACAGCCCTGCTCCCATTAGTTATGATACAGATTTACGAGTAGCCCCAGCAGGCATAAACACTGCAAACGGCTTAATCTCTTTTCAAGGAATATACAGCATTTTACACAGATACACTATGTACACAAACCCATGCAGCCAGGAGCTTGGGAGACCCATGTCACCTCTGTTGTGCCAATAACAGACAACACTTGTGCCAGTCAAAGGAAAGGAGGTCAAAAAACAGCTTCCCTCTTCCCAGGAGAGCACTAACTGGTCTCTGTACGCTTTTTTCACTTGGAGAGCAAGGTGAACCATTTAAAAAAACCAACCAGACACTCTGCTTCTGGCAGGAGAAGAAAAGCTTTCTCCCATGCTGCTGTAAAGCTTGACCAAGTTGCACAGGGAAAAAATGAACCATCTTTTTGTTGTTGACAAACCCCAAAATTGATGCTGTGTTCCTGTGCTTGCACCTCTCTCATCTTGCCAGGTAGCAGGGAGGTAGTGCATGCTTCTTCAGGCACGGGCCCAGGCTCTGTGGTTGGGTGGCCCAGCTGTGCTGGTCAGGGCCCTTAAACCTCCCCTGCTCCCATCTGAAGAACAGGCACTTCTTGCCTGAAAGGCAAAGGTAGTTGCAGGATATCCACATGCAGTTCATTTCCCCAGCCAAGGGCTGTGCTGCTGCTTCAGGGGCCCCACCGCGTTTTCATTTCTTCTTAGAATTTGGGCTACAGCTTCAAGGCAGTGCCAGGTGCTACCTCTAGTGCTGGCACAGATTCCAGCCCTGTAATGCACTCCTTACCAAAATGGGAGAAGAGGAACATCAAGTGATGGAGAACTAGAACCCCTAGAGTCCAGAAATTCAAAACAAAGCATGTTTATTAAGTGGTTTCCTTTTACTTATTTCTCCCATTTTTTTTTTAAATAAATAAAACCTTCAGACACATACAAGAAACACATCATCCTTCAAAGTGCAGTTACATTTCCACCCCACTCCCAAGCATCACGTAAAGCTTTGTCAAGTAACCAAAAAGCCTCAAAAGGCGACCCTCAGCCCTTCCCCTAGCGTAAATGGGTCTGTAGTGCTGCCCAGCTCCCCAGCAGCCTGGGGCTGGGGGCTGTTGAAGGCTGACAAGTTTCAAACACAGTTGCAAGAGGCAGGCTGCAGAAGAAAGTGGGAAGTTTAAGATAACATAGTATGAAACAAAAACCACCACTCTATAGAGTCCAAAGAGTTTGTTACCGGAATTAGTTATTTTGGGAGCCCTGGAAGGAACTAGGTGGCGTACAGTCATGAGTGATGGGTCAGAACCGCCGCTCAGTCGCTGCTGTGAAGCTGGCTGCTGGCAGCGGAGTCTGGGATAAGGGGTTAAGTCATTTTCGCCCAAAGTCATGGAAACCCCTTCCCCCCTCAGCCCAGGTGAAGCACCAGCACCAGCTGCCTCCCAGGATTAGTTTGAGTCTGCCTGTACTCCAAGCACACCAAGTAACAGAAGGAAGAGAAAGGGAAGATGAGGTCTGATACTTGAGTTGTGTGATGCAATCCCTCTTCCCCGATGTCTTTAAGAATCTGTTCTGACCAAGGGCACTGAGCAGAGGTATGAGCACGTACAAATCAGTTAAGTCCTTTCAGGCTCATAAAAAATTGCTGTAAATAAGATTCACCGCCTCTTAAACTACCATGATTTTGACCTCATCGTTCTCATCGGCTCGGTAGAAGAAGGGAATGCAGGGGTTTTCCAGCAGGGAGCCCAGCCTCTCCTGAGGGTTCTGGATTTCTCTGAGAAGCTGCATTATTTGCTTTGCTGTGGGGTCCTCTTGGCTTGGCTGAGCAGCTTTACTGTCAATAGGGGAGAAACCGGATTGGTGAACAGCAGCAGCCTCTTGTTCCGCTTCATCTGCTAAATTCACTTCTCGTAACCCTGTAAGGAACACAGACAAGGCAGGCAGGTAACTCCTCCCATCCGCGCACAGCAGCAAGACCTCAGGTTATCCCATTCTACAGGGCTGCACCTTACCTTCTCCGTCAGTAGCGTTCAGCTCAAGGCGCCTCTCCCCTGGCAACACACTTTCATTCTGGCTTGCCAACACCTCCGGGTTCTGAGCAGCTGCTACGTACTTGCTGTACCATTCATTTCTTTCCCTGACCAGACGCATCACTAAATCCTGCAGTTCCAGGAGTTTCACCTGCACCAAAGGAAAGGAAACCCCATGAAGCAGGCACGCAGCACTGCACTACAGCTTGCAGTCCCGCCTCTGACCCCAAATTAACGACTGCGAAGTTAAAGCTGGCTGAAGAACGACGCGCGAAGGGTTGGACCGTGCCAAGTGCTCCCCAGGCCTGCCCTGCTCGCGGCAGCGCTACGGAAAAGATTCCTTGCCTTCATCTCTTCCTTATCCTGAGCCAGTCTGCTGATGTACTCCTCCTTCTCCTGGTGCCGCTGTTTGAGGATAGCCCTTTGACTCTGGTATAATGCAATATACTCCCCTGGAATACAAGAGAAGCGTAAGGAGTACGCGTGAGCGAGACTGGGGTACAAGGCTTACAGTGAGCACAGAACGGTGTGGCACGAGGATGCAGCAAATCCAACCCTGGATTGGGGGTCCAGCCTAGTTAGGCAGCAGCAGGAGTCAGGAACTGCTTGGTAGTTGCAGGGATCCAGCTCCAAAAGCTGTTGGGGACCTTCTGCTTCCCCAATAAGGAATGCCCTGAGCAAGCTTTAGCTTGTGCTGGTGTTGCCTGAACATACCGATGGTGTCCGTTTCCCCAGACAGCTGTATGCAGCGATGTTCTAACTCTTCCAGCCGTTCCTTCAGATCAGCTTTCTCATGCATCAGGTCTGTGAAACGGGACTGAACACAAGAATTGAATCAATCATCTGAACTGCTCACATACAGAGAACAGCTGACACCACCTCCATTCCCGTTGGTCTGAGCTTAGGCAACAAATCCTGCTGCCTTTCCAACTAGTCTCCAAGTTGATACTAAAAAGGAACAGAGAGGAGAGAGATAGAAAAGGTGTAAAAAAGCATCTCTGCGTTTTAGGAAGCAGAAGGGCTGATGAAACATAGGGCCTTTTAACCCTCTCATGGCTGGGGCAGCACAGCTCTGGTCCTACTTGGCTCCAAGACTGCAGCCCACCTGCTTCATCTCAGCAGAGTGAAGATACTCTGGTTTTCAGCAAAAGGCTACAGGTCAGGGTTAGGCCCTTATACTCACAGCCTTTGGGGGCGGGAGGCGTGTTACTGCTGCAAGCTTCCCTGTGCTGAGACAAGCAGCAATAAGCTTTTTAGCAAGTAGTTTATTTTGGAACATCTGCTACTTCTTCCCCTGCAATTTGTCTGTGTGTGCTGTAAGACAGCTGGACTCTGAATTAAAGTCTGAGCAGCGTAGCAGGGCTGAAAGAAGATGAGACCCTTTGCTTACCTGTAGTTTCTCCATGGCAGTTTTCAAAGCCTCGTGAACCTCCACTGGAACAGTATCCATAGCGGAACCTGGAAAGGACATGAGTAATTTACAGTTCCTCCTTGGACATGACGCACCCACAAAACCTGTAGATCTGTTCCACAGAGGCCAGTGCAGCTGGCCGAGGCACGCCTCCACATTCACGCTGTCCCCAAACCCCACCGAATTTTTACCTCCACCCAACGTGACGTTATGTTGCTGCTCCTGCCTAAGAGCTGCTATTTGCTGCAAGAGGCTCCTGCACTGCTGTTTCTGAGCAGCCAGCTGCTGCCTCATGTCTTCTCGCTCCTTCTCCACTTGGGACATGGCAGATGTCACAAAAGCGACCTAAGAATTCCAGAACACGCATATCAGTGCTTCTCCTGTGTGAGGCATTATCAATCAGTGGTGCATCTTGGGACAACCACAATAACAGTTCACTCCATTTTATTTATGGGTATGAAACCAAAGTACTAAGTGATTGCCCTAGAACTAAACCAGCCAGCAACTGCATCTTTTCTCATTCCCGAGTAGTACAAATATACAGGTTAAATACTGGCTCCCATGATACCCGTTTCATCGCAGTATTTTCCAATTATGACTACTTACAGAAAAATTTGGTAGATATTCAACACCATTTCCCAAGTGCCTTCCAAACTACAGAGAACATCACAATTAGAGCGCTACTCTGCCAGCTGAGTTGTCTTCATAACTAAAGCCACTGCCAGACTTCCAGCCTGTCTTGCAAGGATGCTGCAGAAGTCTTGGGTTTTGCTGCTACGCACAAGGAGCTGTTACACTTGCCTCATTGCTGCACCCCAGCTGGTGGGGATCACAGCGGCTCAACAGCCTGTGCGTGCACCCAGTGGAACCTCTCTGCAATTCAACCTGCCTCCTGTTTTAGACATTTGGTTAGAACTAAAACCAAATGCTTTTCTACCCGTTAACACTCACCATTTCTTCATGGCTTTCAAACTTCTCTGGGATCACAAATGAAGATTTCTGGGTTTCTTCGGTCATCACTTCACTTTCAACTCCATCTCCTGTGAAAGGAGGAAGGTGAACAACGAGGGAAGGTCCCAGGAGAGCCCAGCTCTGCCTCCTCCCTGGAGGCCAGCTGCAGCTACTCACCCTCTAGTCGGTGCAAAATCCTGCCATCCAGGTCTGCTGCTAATTGGCTGATCTGGGCCTGCAGCTCTTTGTTTTCCTTAGCTACAGCTTCCAGACTTTCCTGCAAGAGAGAAGAGCCCAGGTTGGAAGGGACTGTGAAAGTTCATTTGGCCAACCTTCCGCTTAATTAACGCTTAATGTAGTGAAGCACTTTTCCTCCCCTTTTTCCACTTGCCCCTTTTTACTGTTACCTTGGTCTGCTGCAGCTCTTTCAGGTGCATTTCCACCGTCACCTTCCCCTGAACCTCCTCATGCTGTAGCCGATCCATAAGCTGCGTCTGAAGCAAGTACTGTTTGTGCAGTTCCTCCTTCTCGGCACACAGCTGCTGGTACGCCACGCTGTACTGCTGCAAGTGGCTGTAGTACTGGTCCCGCTGCTCCTGCAGACCCCGAGCCTCCTGTGTTTTCAGTTCCAGCTGACATAACAAGATCGAACCGTCAACATCAAACCATTTCTGCCAGAAAAGCTGATCCGTGTGACATGATCCAAACTGTCAACATTGCCACCAACTAGGCAGGCAGCCACCATCTGCCCCCACATGCTGGTCCCCCGCATCAGACAGCAGATGATGGGGGAAGGCTCCCAGCTTGATCTTTACAATACCAGTTTCCATCTTTCCATCAAAGTCTGGAAAGTTGCCAGCAGTCTGTATGACCTGCTGTGTACCTGCCCTGCCATCCCACCGGCTGTTGCTTACCGCCTCTTTGAGCTCCCCCAGGTTCTCCTGCAGCTGCCCAAGCTTCTTGGCCAGCTCCTTCTTTACATGTTGTTCTGACTGGAGGGCACTTGTAACCTCCATGTTTTCGTTTGTCTGCGAGACAAATATCACTGTATAAGGAAACTGCCCCAACCAACGTAAACATATACTCTCAATAAACCATGTTCATTCCTGATGCAGCAGGGTGCCATCCCTTGCTATTCTATGGTGTAACTAAGGGCCATAAATTGACTGTTGAGGGCGGTAAATAACTTACAGAAAGGTTCAGAAGATGGGAGAAGAGCAAGGAAAGAGCCAGGGGAATCAGTGTTGGGACAGTGCCAAGAAGAGGCCTGGCACATCACACAGCCTGTCAGCTCCAGAGCAGATGGGTGGTATGAATATCCCAAACAGAGCCACAGATATTCGAAACAAGAGGAGCAGTTCAGAAGGGACTAAAGAAAAATCAGTGCCCAGACCATGTGTCAGTTTTCCAGGGCCCCAAAGGGGAAGCTGTTACACTGGAAGAAGCAAGCAGGAGTAAGACAGATAAGAATGATGGCAGGAGGAGACTGCTGAGAACTTGCTGCTCATGAGCAAATACAGGGATCAGAAAATGGGTACCTTCAAGGGTAAGAGGGCAGGAGGAATACTCAGGGGAAGAAACAGCCTGACTGCCAAGGGATGAGAGGGAAAAGGAAACTGCTCTGGTAAAGATATAGGTTCATCTGCCAGAGCACCTGAGGGAGTAAGGAATGACAGGGAACCTCCTTGCATGGCAATATGCATCACAGAAGACGAGCATCCGTAGCCTCAGGGGACAAGACATGGATAATGCTTCTGCCAGTTTTTCCACATCTGTCCTACAAAAGGATTGCAGTGGTGATGGGAAAAGTTGCACGGAAGAGACGTACCAGTTTGACAAACCCATTCTGCAGCTCAGCCAGCTGCTCCTTCAGCTCCCGGTTTTGGCTCAGCGCCCTACTGATCGTAGCCTTGTCACTCTGCATGTCCTCCAGGATCTGCTGTCTGTCCACAGACTCCTCGTTGTAGCGCTGCACAGCCTTCTCTAGCTCCAGCAGCCGCTCCTCCTGCTCCCGGTTGAGGTGGCTCAGCTGCTCGTTGTCCCGGACCTGGGCCTGGTACTGCCCGTGCAGTTCCTCCTTCTCTTGCTGCAGCCGCTGGATCTCCTCCTGCAGGCTCAGCTCAGCTGCTGTGGGCCCTGCTGGTAAGGAAGGCTCAATATCCATGGGCTTAACTGCTGAGGAAATGGAATCGAAAGCAGCTCAGTCAAAGGGCAAAGTTGCTGCGTAGTGACATCACCATGACACAAGGAAGCACACCCAACCTACAGGGCTCCATGACCCAGAATGTGTCACCAGCTGTAGTGTCCAATCCTCGCCGCAGGGCGTCGAGAGGAACGAAGGAGCAAAGCTACCCCAAAACCAAGCACAGCACCCTGCCGCGTGCTCCTAACTCCCTCACAGCCCTGGCAAGAGCATCCTGCCTTCCCAACCCCCAAACTCCCGGGCCAGAGAGGCTGACAGTACAGCCAGGCGCACACTAAAGACATAAACAGCCTGCTGGTCCATTAGCTGAAGCAGTTCACTTGCTGTTCGCCAGGATGAAAGGTTTCTCAGGGTCACCAGCTGCCTCCACAGCTTAGAGCATCAGACCTACGTGCACCTCGTGTGCCGAAGTTCCTACGCAGCGGGGACAGCGTTAACCAGCTGGTACTCTGCAATGTGAAGCCCCACTTTGGAAGCCCTACCTGATTTGCTCAACAGCTCTGTAACATTGGCTTCCAGCTCCCCAATTTGGGCCATATGCTTCTCCTTCTCCTCTGCCATTGTGTGGATCTGCAAGGCCACACAAGTGAAAAGTTAAAGCATTTACTCCTGCCCGTGTTTGTCCAAAGCAGCTAAGATACTGCCCCTGATGTTACCTGCTCAGACAGCTGCTGTACCCGCTGCTGCCAAATGCTCTGCTCCTCCTTCAGTTTTTCTACATACTGATCTCTTTCTGCCTGGAGCTGGTGAAGTGACTCTGAGAGCTGTTCAAAACAAAATAAAATACAAAGAAAATTGTATTGGCTAAATAAATTGGGCAGTGATTGCTAAAGGGATAAAGCTTGCAGAAACCAGTGTTAATACAAAACTCAGGCTGCATTCTTCTGCCACACAAGTTTCTTTACAGACATCAAGATTTGGATTGTATTTCATGCAACCTCTTACCTGAGCAACCTGGGTTTCCAGGCTCGCCTTCTCCTCCAGTGCCATCTGCAACTGCTGGTTTGCATCCAGACTCCCTGCCTGATTTGAGAACTGCCAACAAAAATCAAAAAGTTACGGCAAAATGTTAATACTCAATTTCTGCATAGCCTTTCCCCTGATAGTAACCTGCCACATGATCCATGTTGTAACGTTCTACCATTCTTTAAGGTACTCACAACTCACAGTGAAGTTCAATGGCAAAAAAAAAAAACAGATTAACATCAAAAAGCTTTTATTTTAGCCCTGTAAAACAGGCTGAACTGCGCAGCTGCTCCCTACCAATTTTATATTTACTATCTTTTTAATTAAGAAAATAGGCTTTAATCAAGCAATGTGGCTCAGAAACTTTGTGCCTTTCCAGAGTCTGTGTTGGCTAGATCAGATAGTATAAAGGCTTGTGACCTTAGAAGTTGTCAAACATGTCAGGAATTTAAAGCCAATGTCTGGAGCATGTCAGTGGCCTAAGGAGCAAGGCTAGTTCAGATGACACACAGTACTTTTCCCAGAAGAGTAGCAGTTGGCTTTCTTTCAAGGGCAACTTAAGCCACTGTCTGGGAAAGAAAAAAAAAAAAAAAAAAAAAAAAAAGAGGAAAAAGGGAGGAAGGAAAAACAAAAAAAAGGGAAAAAAGAAAAAAAAAGGAAAAGCAGTTTCTTCCTTCACAGGCTCACCTTAACCCAAGCTTGCTCTCCGAGCTGCCAACAGCTGGCTTCACGCATCCCCTTTCTAACTGGCTGCTTCTCTCAGCTTTCCCAGCTGACCTTCAAGTTGTCATTGTCCAATTCACCTCCTTCTGCTAGGGTGGGCACAGACACCCCCCTGCCCAACTGGTTTCTCAATGAGACAGCACAACTGAGTAACCCCAATGCTGAACAGGCACAAGCAGGAGAAGTCACCGTGTTTTCACACTTGGTATGTTCAGTCACCCTCTGATATTGTGAAACATTCTTTTAGCAGACCAGCGTCACAGCATCTTTCAATCTGCTGCTCCACCTCTTGAGGATATGGACTTTCTGTTCCTGAGCCCTCACTGAAAGCCTTTTACTAAGAGGATGCCTTGATGAGATTTTGTGCCTTCCTTTACAAACAGAGGTTAAGCCTTGTCCCCACTGTCAGAAATAAAGTCCTACAATGATCTCTGTGATCTACCCTCACATCCCAGAAGCGTTACGGTTACCTGTTGAATCATCAGTTCAGCCATTTCCAGTTTCTTATGCAAATCCTCTATATCCAACTTCATAGCTGAGTTCTTGGAAACCAGGGAGTGAACTTTCTCTGACAGCTCCGAATTCTGCTGTTTTATTTCCTCACTACTTTTGCTGAAACAAACAAAAAATTAAAGTGGCAGCACTGTATGTACTACGGGTCTGCTGACGCCCATGTCCTAAATTTACAATCCAGTTCTTCAGAGCAGCCTCAATCACAGAAACATCACATCTAGTGATGGGTTGTTGTTGTTTTTTTTATTGGATATCCAGCCTCCCAAGTCACCACCTGTAGTCTGTGCCTCCTCTTATGTTTTGTGGCTTTGCTGAGAAGAGTTACTCTACAGTAACAAGCAGAATGGACTTACCTTCGTTTGTACAGTTCCAGTTTCAGGTTGTCTCGCTCCTTCACTAACTCTTTATTATGCTGGAGAAAAAGGAAATCATTAATTCATCTACCAACTTTAGCCAAACAACTAAGATGTTAAAAAAAAAATACTTCCGTTTCACCTTTAGCAGATCAGCTAAAGTGGAAAAGGTCAGAACTTTGGCAAAATCCTCAGGACAGGTTTGCTAAAAACCTCTTGAATTTGCCAGGAAAAAGTCCGCTCACTCTTTTCAAACGTGATGCTACTAACTGAGGATGAGGTTATTTCTGCAGACTTCTGGATTAATATCAACACCAAAGCGTTTGATGGAGACCCTCCTGGGACAAGGCCTCAGGGAGGCGTCTGTTGTGTGCAGCTGGCAAGAGTAATGAAGTAAGGTGCCAGACCTGAAGACAGCAACTGGACCATATGATTAGTGGTCACAGAAACCTGAAAGGAGTTTGACTTGATCATAGAGAATACAGGGCTTTACAAGGTTAATTAACAATTAACAGGGTTAATTTCTGCCTCACCTCTAAGTAGGGACTACAGTAGTCTTTACAGGAGTGTAGTGACAAGCAAATCGCCAAAGGCAGAGCTGCTGGCTAAGCCTAAACAGAGGCGACTCTTACCTTCTCTGACTGTTTTTGCTGCATAGAGATGGAGGACAAAGTACGTTCTAGCTCCGATACCCTCTGGCGAGATGAATGTAAACGAGCAGCAAGGTTTTCAGCTTCTCCTGAACAAGTCAGAGCAGAGTCAGTTGAGGCTAGACCACAAACAGCTTTTTAGAACTGGCTGAACAGCACTTTCTACTTGTCAACAAGCTCTTAAGGCAGCACAGAGCTTTGTACATCAGCAGACCTGGGTTCCACACCTGGCTCTACAGGTGATTCACTAGCAACTCTGGGCAGTAAAGCTCTCTGTAACGACCTTCCTCGCTTTTAGAGGGAGATGATGGAGCTTCCTTTGCAGAACAACAGACAATATGTCGTTTGTTGGGGTTTTTTCCTAATAGAATAAATTGCTCAAATTTAGTTCCAAATGAAAGGCTCAGGTAAAACCTACATTAACATGGCAGCTGTGTGGGAGGGAGGGTGGAGAAAAGGGAACAAAGTTTTAAAAGAATCAGAAGAAAGTCAGAAAGGAACAGTCTGGGGTAGTCACCAGGCCCAAACAGGGCTGATGAGGCTTTAGTGATGCACAAAAGAACCTCAACTGCCACGGGACGAACATGCTCCCATTTGGGGGCAGCTTCGATGACAGAAGCAGTGACAGTGCCAAGCACCGCTCATTAAGGAGTCAGCGAGTGTTGTGAGCCGGCTGCCAGCAACTATCATGCCTGTGACTTGAAATCCACAGTTTAACCACCAGCTCGAGCTGGAATGCTCACAGTCAATTACCTGATTTCTGCCGCGCAGCTTGCTGAGTGTGTCCAAGGGCTGTCTGCAACTCGGACTTCTCAGAAACCAGAATTCCAATAGTCTGGATATGAACCTTTGGGAAAGGAAAATCAGCTCAGCACAAAACTTCTTTGCTTGAAACTGCAACGTCACTGTTGCCACAAAAGGATAATTCAGCAAAGGTGAAGAGCTCTTGCAGTGAAGTACAGTCTGGCTGACTGACTCCCAGTTTTCCCACAGGAATGGACTCATGGCTTCCAGGATAAAGACTATGAGTGGTCATAATGGAGGCTCTGCCTTACCTGCAGCTGTTCTCTCAGTGCTGCTTGCTCTTTAGAAAACTTCTGTTCAAACTCCTTCTTTTCCTGTATAAACAAATGATGCCTATTCAGCACAAAAACGTAAATAGTTAATCCTTGTTGGTTTATGTCGAACTAAAAAAGCAGTGATTCACTGGTAGTACTTCCATCCTCTAAATGATACCAGAATATTTAAAAGACATAATTATTTGAACTACTTCATTGCTTTTCCATCCTAGAATGGCGATGACAGCATAGCACAATCACTGCTATCATAAATGAGGCGGTGTTTGGAATGCAAGCTATTGGCAAAGACTTAAGCTTTGATCTCCAGCCTCCACTGCACTCTTCCAATGCTGGAGCACTTAAATGGTAGGGTTTTTAAATAAGAACGCTACCTGCCAGGCCTAACTCATGAAGGCAAAACAGTCAACCTTATTGTTACCTTCAGGTTCATTTCTAGCATAAGACAAGATCACGTATGCCTGTGCCACAGCCCACTGTGTTTTCTGCTCCTCAGAGAAACAGATACCTATTTCTGTATCCATCTGAAAATAATACACACTTTACCTTCTCCAGCTGATTCACTGCTTCTTGGTTCTGCTGTTTCTACGGAAGAAAATTGATGTGCCAGTATTAAGAGAAAATGGTCTCATACTGCTGAAACACATTTTCACTTTAATGAAGGAGGATATGTGCCAAATTAATGCAAAGAGAACTGCCATTATCCTTTCTGTAGAAGACTAGGAAGTTCGTCTTAGCTATTCAAACCAATAGATTTGGAGCTGCCTTCACTAAGATACTTTATACACCAGGTATGTTTTTCATTCCTCGGTACACTACCACAGTTCTCCCTAAATACCACTGCTGAAACCACTGTATGGTCCTATCTGAGCATCCACCGACTTCAGTTAAACTTGCATCTCCCATCTATGAAATTAATCATAGTAATCCTGGTGTATCAGGATAATCACCAAAAGTGCCTCAAAAAAAACCCCAAAACAACAAACAACACCACAAAAAACCCCTGAAAAACCTCCAAAAACCCCATAGTCTTTTCCTTTAATCGAGGCCTTAGACCCTCATCCCACTTAACACCCGGCCTTTAAGTCCTGCAGCGCCGCACCATGCTGGCAAGCTTCTGCAAAAGGTGCCGTGGGAGAAAGCTGAAGCCAAAGGCAAAGACAAGGGCTAATTCTGTCCTAGCCAATTTCAATCTTATGAGTGAAGTGTCCCTCCCAACTTGAGACCTTCTATGGCTCTTTAAGTATTTTGGAGATTTGTTGACTCTACATAGGGCACCTTTAGGAAGGAGGTGAAGGAGACAAAAGTGGCAGCTGACTACCCGGGCTGCCACGCAGACTGTGCTGCTGTGTTTGCCATTTGCTGCTGTTGTTCCCCTGGAGTTTTCTTACAGACGCCTCAGAGTAACTCCATAATTAGTACTTTTTCCCCTTCCCAAAGAGTGGACATTGGCCAAGCTGTTTCTTTACTACTATGACTTCAATGTATTTTGAAACATGACTACAGATGGAAGGGCGATGAGTTAGAGGCTTTGATTCTAGCAATGCCAGTGCACAACATAACCAGGAAAAGCGAAGGCAAGACCACAAATGCAGCAAAGGCCCTACGTGGTTCCAGGCAAACAGAAAAGCAGGCAACCAAGGAGAATCTTCAGTGGGCAATGCAGTAATGCAGCCCAGTTAAAAGACAAACAGAATGGAACAAAAATAACCCAAAACCAGAAATAAAACGAGAGGGGTCATGGGGTACACTGGGAAATGCTGAACTTTGGGAAAAGTGTAGTTTGGGAGAAGAACAAAATGGGGAAAAGTATTTCACATAAGAAAGGCTCTTTTCAGACTGAAACAAGACCACTTAGCTGCATTTCTTGCAATGTTAAAGCTGAAGGCTGAAAGGCAGCTGCAGGAATCCATGCAGGCAGGGGACAAAGCAGTTCATTCATCACGCCAGGAGAAGCTGAGGATATGATCAGAAACCAGCCCCAGGCTCTCTCTTAGACCTATTGCTCCTACTCTGCCCATTTATTTAGAACAGCATCACCACCTGCACAAACAGGTTTTCACACTGCTGCCAGCACCAGAATTCTGCATTTCAAGGATTCAGACCAGGGCAAGAAATAGCTGTTTTAGCAGGATGGTTATCACTCAGGGAAAGCATGAGGAGATCAACAGAGCACACTTAATGGGAAAAACAAAACTCTGTTTGGTGTTCCTCAGATGAGCCAATACATTCACAAGCGGCCTTAAGACTTTGATCCTCAAAACAGGTTTTCCATCCAGCCCATTTTGTTCCTCACAAAGCGCTGGGTAAGCAGCCTTCCTTGTGGCACTATGAGAGAACCCATAACCTTGCAGACACCCAGAGAGCATGGAGGAGCAGCAAAGACAACGTCAAACTGGTTGGTCGGATTGTTTCTTACCAATTCCTCTATCTTTGTAACGAGCTGTTTGTTAGTTAAATTGCTGGAATCCAGGGCTACTGCCAGCTCCTGGTAACGTGTCTGATGGGCACATGCAAACAGGAGAAAAAGGAAGGAGCAGAAGAGGAGGGAAGGAAAAAAAGCAATAATTAAAAAGGACAGAAAAATAAATCATTACCACAGTTTGATATAATCAGATTCTCCAAACAAAACAAAATCTATGGTTTTAACAAAAGCAGCTGGGCCGTCAACGTATTTTGTCCATTTCTGCTGAGGCTTCACTTTGACATAAAAGTGAATCAGAAATCAGAACTGCAGTTGCGTGGAAGCCAGGTTATCCCCCGTCCCCAAACTAGAAACACCTCCAGTACCTGCCTCCTGCTGTCGATCACAGCTACCCGACTACAGCCCAAGACTACACCAGAGGGCAATGTCTGTGAACTGTGCATTCAGTCTCATAACGCTGCTGAAAGCACAGAGTCCCAATAACTGATCAACAGTAGCAAATAAGAAAAAAAAAAAAAAAAAGACTGAGAACAACTTACTTCCATTTCCTTAATATTTGTGGAAGAAACAGCACTTTCCCCATTCACATACGACGTAGACTAGAAGTAAACCAGTCAAGTCAGTCAGTTTTATTTCCCAAGGCAAGAAATCACTATAAAGAGCTGACTATCACAGTAATACTTCTTACAGCACCTTTCACTTCAAATTACTGCACACAGGCACAGAAAACATACTTTTCTGGCTAAGGATAGATGCACACTTCCCCTGTGACAAGCTAATGTGAATTATGCAGATTGATTTCAGAGTCTTTTCTACTAAATCAAGAACACATCCTTCCATGAATACACGCTGTTCATTCATCCCACTCTGCTTTTCTTCCTACTGCTGAAATTTTACATTCCTAAAACAGGATTTTTTGCTTCTCAACGCTTAAATATCGTGTTGTTTAGCAGGATGATTGCAGACACCTCTGAGGTTGAAAAGCATTTTCTTGAGATGACTGCTTAAAGCTCCACATCAAACATCAAGAGAATTAAAAGGACAAATGGATCAAAAGGAGGCCGTACCTGAGAAACCAGGCCATTGAGTTGTTCAGACAACTGGCGGAGACTTTCTGTTGACGAGAAAGACCTGGGAACACAGAAAGACCTTACAATGAAAATTTCTCCCAGAGAACTGCCCAAATCGGAACAGCACTGGGGAGGAATAAAGCCTTAAGTTGTTGGGATCCTGTTGCAAAGCTGTTTGATAAAGACACACACAGACACTCACCTGTTCTCATCCAAAGCATTTTTATGATCCTCGGCTTCATGAATCTGTGGATTGAAACACAAAAACTTACAATCCTGTAAAAGAAGATGGGAGTCACATTTGTGAATGTGTCACTAAGGCTTGATTACATCTGGGCTCGGGTTCCACACTACCTGTAATTACTGCTTCCCAAAAAGATGAACTTAAAAGCACCAACTCAGCCCTGGCATACACCATTTCTGAGTGGTATGGGCCTGGGTTTCTTGGAATGGAGAAACTGAAGCGTTACAGGCTTTATGTTTGCTGTTACTAGTTATCAGTATAGTCAACAATTTGCTTTGTGGGAAAAAACTTCAACTGAATCTTTTAAGTAGTGAAAAGAAACACAGATTGATCTGACTGGAGACCTTCTGTCACATTAAGGGTACCTTCTGCTAATGACAGAGGAGGGAAGGGGAAGGAAAACAGCTTTGGAGGATGCCGGGGCATGGCACACGAGTGCTCTCTGCTCTCACAGACAGCTGACGACTAGATGGAGTATTTTTAACAGGAGGAAATCTGAACTAGTCATGTCACATTGATGAAGATTGTCTTTCTCAAAAAAAATATACGGTATCACCAACCAGTATTCAATGGTTCAACGGCAATATTGATGATAATTCACAAACCTGTGTCAGCTGCATGCTCCCAGGAGCAGGCAGAACAGAACCACAGCTAGGTAGGCTGTTGCTGTTAGATAGCACAGGGACATCGGTAGCAAGCTGTTCAGCATTACGAGTGGCAACATCACTGTCAAAGTACGCCTGTCACAAAACACAGCACAGGGATTACAGCCTTCATGCAAAATGAACGAAAACACACGTGAACACATCACCTTGGGATCCGCCCGTGAAAACCTGACGGATGTGTACAGCCATTCAGAAACAGGTGGAAGGGAATCTGTTCTCCCCAGAGCAAACAGGTGACGGCATCAACCCACGAACAAACACTGTCCCAGGCCCGTGCTCTCTCAGAGCCCGTCGGAAGAACCGGCATCTTATCATCAAACTCGCCTCTAACACAGGGCAATGACGTCACCCAACTCTACATTCCCACACCAGCTTTACTGCAAAGGACTCGCCAAAAAGCGAGGAAGGGCAAAGCCAGGTGGTAGCTGCTCTGCTCTGAAAAGCGCTGCCTTCGAGGTGTGTCTGGGGAAAACACTGACCACTGTATGCAAATTCGGAAGGAAAAGAACAGTTTTTCAGACTACCTGAAAACCGGGTTAGTCCAACTCAAATGCTCCACCTCAAGCCCAGGTGCAATGCGTGGCATGCCGTGCACCACGAGTTTAGAAAGAGGACATTTCTGGAGGCCCAACGCAGCGTGGCTGGGAGCAGGTGCCTGGGGCCCTGCTGCAGCAATGAGTCCCACGACTAGAAGAATCTAAACAGGAAAGAGAAGGGCCAAAAAACTATTTCTAGACAGCGATGCAAGTTCTCATCCAGCCTTCGTGGGAGGATGAACAGCATCTGATGGCACCTCCACCAAGCCACACTGAACTGGACAATGTCATCTATCTTGCACAGCACCGGAGAGCCATGAAGGCCCAGAGCAGCGTTCCACTGTTTTATGCCAATTTGGTTTATTTCATCACCCAGCTCTGGTAAGTCATCATTTAACAACACTACGAAGCACATGAGATCATCTGCTGACATTCAGCCCCACCACTACAGGGCAGCTCTCTGCTATTCCACCTGAAAGAGCTCCCTCGTACTTCAGTCACTTCCTTCTCGGCACTCCATGGGAACCGAGCGCCTCTCTCTTGGCGTTCCCCGTTTACCTGCTCAGCACTTCACTCACGAATCAAGCAGCAAGAGAACACAGCAACAGTGAAGACAGATTTAGTGAAAACAGTAAGCTGGAAGACTGCAGAGGGAAACAAACAGAATTTTCTCCATTTCTTTTTAGCAGGACAGGTACTTCTGCTCTCAAGGAGCAATGTACATTAGGTGCTTATAGGAAGGTCAGGAATTCCCTTAATTCTTCCAGCTACAGGTTACTTCACCTTTATTGGTTCAGACACTCATTAATACAGAACATCGGATGGACAGGAGGAATACCTTCCCCACTACATCTCAAAAAAGCTTCCTTTATTTCTTTGGATCAGGACATTCTTTTTGCTTAATGCTTCAAGATGCAAAAACCAGTAACAAGCCTTAACCACAAGAACTCCTTCCTTCTTCCTCCACAATAGGCAGTTTTGAAATAAATTTTTGATTTAAAAAAGAAAACCCAAACAGCTGAATTTGTTGGAAACAGAAAGAGTTAGGAGCAAGACACTTATCTGGAAATTATGCATTGTGAGGTTCTCATAATGTAGAATGAAAAGTTAGTAATTCTGCTCAGCTTAGCATATAGTAGGATCCGTTTGCTTTCACACAAAGGCTCCTATTTTGCTGGGTTTTCTGTGTTTCACAGCCAAGAAAGCTGAAGTGGGAGAGATGGGAGGGGTCTGCCTCACATTAAGACACCAATGGCAGCAGTAGCTCGGATGCTAACGACCAGCTTTTCTGCCCTATTAGCGTCAAGGGAGTTTCTGAACAGCATTTTCCTGACTCAGGATTTTTACAAGACAGCAACTGGAAAGATAAATCTTTCTTTCATTACATACTGCAATTAAAGATTAGTTTTCAAATTATTGCGAAAACCCCAGACACGATAATCCACAAATTCCATAAAGGCCAATTGGATCAAAATGTATCTCTCCATGCTAAGGGAGGAAAAAAAATTGGGAAAACAAGAATGAATAGAAGTAATAAATTCTCCATTTTGAGAACAGGACTACAACTGTAGGCACAGGCAGGCCTTCACTGCAAGCCCAAATGCCATCTCAGCAACAGCACTGGACCACCCGTCTTCACCTCACCCCCCAGTGTGAAACAAGTCTCTTTCTCTGAGATCTAATTGACGCTGAGCTGATGAGTATTGGCTGAAAACAGTCCCCATGACAAGAGTGAAACTTCAATCAAGAGACCTGCTTTCTGACGCTAGACAGGCACACCCAGCGCCCTCAAAGCTGGCCACGTGTCTTTGTGTCACTCCAGTTCTACTGATTCTCAGCCTACAGATACACGGTGCAGCTGGAGGAACTTTCTGCCGTTCACTCTGTGCGTTGGACAGAACACTGTGTGCGTATTATCACATAAAAAAAAATGAAAAGGGATACAAAGGCAATTCAGAGTGAACTCCATTCCATCTTGAAGGTTTCACTGCACCTGTCTGGTACCCCTGGTGATCACTACAGTTATATTTATTGCTGGAGACACATGGATATACAGTAAATATAATAATGAGTTACTTTATGACAACTAAATTGAAAACATGGTAGGGAAATAAGCTACCAAAATGATGCAAGTGAAAATGAAAAGCAGAGCGTTGGCACAACAAAATTGGAAGAAAATTCTGAGCTACAACATTTGACTTCCCTGAGTTTCTATCACAAGTTGAGCCTTATTCAAATAAGCTGACTGTCTGAATATAAGTTTTTTGAAAAGGCTGTTTGTTTGCGTTTGCTCCTGCACACATTTCTATTGCTTACTGGCGTCCTTCCTACGCCTTCCTCTTCAGAAGCTTGGGAACATGAAGACACTAAAGCCTGTAAGTGCTTGACTTGAAGTATCTGACTTTCCTGCCTTAACATATTTAAACGCACAGTACTTGGCAGACTGTACTGCACCTCTGCAGGCTTCACCGCCTGCCATAAAATGGGTCGGCTGAATAACTAGGCAGCTTACTCAGGGCAGCTGCTTGCCTGCAGATGAGCAGAAATATGCCCTTCAGAAACGAGGCTCTGGGAAATAAAGCAGCGACACACAGAATCAGAGAAATAGAGACTGAGAAAACACTGCCTCTTCCTCGTGCACTTTTCCTCAGCAGTTAAGTTAGTTTATTGCCTCATCCCAAATCCCTGGTTTTCCTCAAAGCTCAGCTGTCTCAAGGAGGAGTTTTTGACAAGGTTCATTTTTTCACACGTGAAGTTTGACACGAACCAGAAGGGAACAAGCACTCACAAGCAATGGAAACGCATGGTAACAAGTAGCTTCGTGTTAATAAAAACAGCAATACAACTCAAGCAGCTGACAGCGGGTATGTCAGGACAAGGCTCCACCCAAAAAACCGAGGTCAGTGTGAACAGAACCCAAAGCATGCAGTAGGGAGAGCGAGCCACTGCGAGGGACACGAGCACTGCCTCACCTTCCTCTTGTCCAATGAGGGTATGGCTACCCCATTGGAGCGGTTAAGGTCTGACACCAGCACCTTCAGAATGTTCTGAATCTACAGGAGGCGAAAGAAAAGGGGAAAGAGAAACGGCTCAGAAAAGGGACAGAGAGAAAACGTCGATCAAAGGCAGCCAAAGACACCGGCATCCTCCAGCTCATCTGGAGCACGCGCCTCCGAACAGCAGCTCTGGGCACGCCCAGGGTTGCACGACAGCATCGTGCGATCAGACAGCGCTCCGGCACGCACCCCGACTCTTGCGTGCACCTTCCAGCAGAGGCAGTGGCTCACTCCTGTAGCACACTGGGTACACTGGTGATACCAGCCCCGACACCACTCATCTACCGAACCAGCAAGACCCTTTCCCAGCTCTAATCACGTTGTTCGGGAAACCAAGGAACACGCAGGTGGCAAATGATCCGGGAGAAAGAATGAGACACTCACGTTCTCTGGAGGCTGCTGGTCATCGTTGGTGGGAGTCTCGGGTCTACTGCCTTCTCTGGTTTTGCGTTTTTTCTTCGTTCCTGCAGTTGCTCCAGGGCTATTCTTCTGCTGATATTCCTTCAGCTGGGAACAAAGAATAAGCTGAAGTCCAAACAGAGTATGTCTTCTATGAGTATTACGTCAAAAAAACCCAACCAAACTCCACTGGGTAAAAAGACAGACCAAGTCTAAGGTCAAGAGAAACGCTCTTCAATGACTTTGTCCCTGGGGAATCAAAACAAGTCCAGAGAAGCCTGAAGTAAGAACTAGTGTGATGGGTTTATGACATGAGGCTCAGAGTTGTAAACATTCAACTTTTGTATACAGCTACTGATGTTCTTGGGAAACAATTTGATACTCCATACTGCAACTAAAAGGAGATTAAAAGAAGTATTTTGGGGCTTTTTGGGCTTATCACCAAGAGCAATAAGGAAAAATTAATAAAGAGCAATTAATCCTGAATGCAAAGTGAAAAAGCAGTGCCTGCTAAGATGACCTTCCATTCTGTGAAAGATTTTGAGAAGGAAAATGACAAGCCCCACAGATAACACATTCATACAGATACTGCAGAACTGTGAAGTAAGAGCAGAAGCAACCTACAACTGATTTTTCAAATTGCATCTGCTTTGCCCAGGAAAAGCCAGTCTGATAAGCTGCAACCTGAGCCCTGCCAGGTCTCCCGGCATTTTTGTGTATGTTACTGAACACCCAAGCCCCAGACCCAGGGAGTCCCAGGCAGTTACATAAACTGCCCCTGCCACCAGCCCCCGCCGCCCACCTCGGACACGACGCCCCCATCCCCGCGCTGTGCCAGACCCCGGGCAAGCAGGGCCCGGCTGCGGCTCAAGGTGCGAAAACAAGAAAATACGAAGAAGGATCCCCTTATTGGGAGGATTTCAAAATGGAAGCCTGAACTGCTCCAGGACACTTTCCCAGTCGTATGACTTTGACACAGAGGCGCATCCCACCGGGACGGACGGGGCCGAGCCGCCCGAGAGAGAAATTAAGAGGAATAAAAAGG